ATAATGTCCTTACGAACCTTTTCTTGCTCCTCACCCCATCGGAACAGTACACCCTTGCGGGTCAAGTTTGCTATACATGACATTTTATGTGAATAGCCTGGGATATAGCGCCTAAAATATCCAGCCAGATCCAGAAATTGTCTGACTTCTTTAACATTGCTTGGCACCCTCGCATCGACCAGTGCTTGGACCTTCAATAGACTCGGCCTAACCTGACCATTACTGATCGTTCTACCTAGGTATTCTATTTCTGTAGTAAGAAACCTACACTTTTTCAAGTTGATAGAAAACCCCGCACTAGTCAGGGTTCCTAGAACCTCCCGTAATGTCTGTAAACCTTCAGCGATAGTATGGCTAGGTAACAGTATGTCATCAATATATACGCAGGCTTTACCAGTATCGATGAATGTACGCAATGTGGTGGATATTATGCGCTGATATACTATTGGTGCGTTGGCGAGTCCATATGGCATTTTTAAATACTCGTAGTGGCCCTCTGGAGTTACGAATCCCGTGCGATGAATTGACTCCTCATCCAACTTTATCTGATGAAATCCAGTGGCCATATCTAAACTGGTAAAGTACCTGGCTTTCCCTAACCGGTCGATGTGATCATCTATTAGCGGTAAGGGGTAGTGATCCTTTACCGTATTCGCGTTCAAGGCGCGAAAGTCAACGCAAAGCCTATCGCTACCGTCCTTTTTCTTCACGAGCAATATAGGACTCGAAAAAGCTGATTCTGACTCTCTAATTATTTGTTTTTCAAGTAGATCCCGAATTATCTTTCTGACGCGCAGTTTCTCATCATAAGACATTTTGTATGGTCGGTAGACTACTGGAGTTTCATTATGTAACTTAATATGCATTGTACCTGTATGCACAGTGGTAGTAGCCGTACCCACAACGAGATACTTACCAAATTCGTTAATGATACGCATTAATTGTTCCCTTTCCGCACCTGACAGCGATGTATCTATCAGCACATTTATTGGATCAGACTTGATTTGCAAAACATTGTCACGTCGCGTAAGCCGTTGTACTCCACGCGTCCGGGTGTAAGTCACACCGTCTCTATTTAATACATCTGTACCGACAATCACTGGCGTGTTCATGCATTTATCCGAAACGATGTGAAAATCAATTTCGAGGGTAATATTTAAAAATTCTACTATTAACGTAGTACGAAACGATGTTTCTATGTCCTGACAACCTATACCTCGCAAAACTCGATATGAAGGTATCCGAGTGCATTGCAAATGTTTCGAAACTGATTCGGCAATCAAAGAAATAGTTGACCCACTGTCTATAAGAACGTCAACTGGCACACCCTGAATAACTGCCGTCGTAATATCGTTTTGTTTGTAAACGTCGACTGATTCGCGACAAAAGTTAACGTTCGACTTACCATGCGATTCGGCGCGCTGCTTTGTAAAACAATCTTCGACTTTATGGCCAACCTTTTTGCAAAAAGAACAGAGTTCTGATTTTGGTATCTGCCTGTTCGAATTATACGCATTCGTAGAAGTTTCGGTTTTGGCACGTTTTGGGCACGTGTTCTGTTTGTGACCAAAGCCATTGCAAGAAAAACATCTAACACGGTAGTCTACGCGTTCTCGTTTGCGAGGATTGGGTTGTAAATCGTATTTCCGGAAGGTACCCCGTGTTCGCGTTGGTGTAACTTGGCTTGATTTTAAATAAATCGATAAAAAATGTACTAGGCCGTCAGGTAACAGGTTCGCATTAGTAGCCGCGGCGCGAATCTGCGGGTCGGTAATGCCCCTTATGATTACCGCTGCTATTAATTCATCACTCATTCCGTTAACAATGCGTAACCGTAATAAGGAACGCCTGGCATATTCTGCATAGGTGGGGTAGTTATCGGAGTTCGTTTTCATCACGTCAAACAAAATATTTGCAATATCAATCCGTGATGGACACAAAGTTTTAAATTCTCGTTTGAAATTTGACCAACCACGATCGTTACTAACCCATTCGTTGAGCCACAGCTTCGCGTCACCCTTAAGACAATTTCCTATACGCGCCAAACACTCGCGATCATCCCATCGATTTAAACTGCGCACGTGATCAACTTCCGTACACCACACATCGAAATCATTTAAACATGGATCAAAGTTCGATATAAAAATATGATTCGACCTTACCGGTATAGCGTTAATTACACTTACAAGTTTTTCGGTAACCTCACTCATTACCATGTCGGCACTGGACTGCACCGTACCCGTGCAAGGTACGGATGCGGCGAAGCTTGCGGAGCAAGACTCCGACTCCGTCGCTGGCACGACAGTGCCGTCCAGGTGCGAAGATAGCGTCATACTCGGAGGAGCCGTAACGTCGCGTGACGTACCCGCATTATTCTTATTCGAAGCACCACTCACTGAACTATCTTCCAAGGCAGTCAAACGATTCAAAATCGTTTGTAATTGTTGCTCCAAACCAGAGATAGGCGGCGTGTCACTACCTTTACGACCGTTATGCCTTATGCCTTGCGACATTGTTTAATTATTCCTCCCTTTTTTTTTTTTTTTTTTGTTTTATTTACTACTCAACAATAATTTATTGCACACTGAATTTAAATCAAGGAAGCCGTGCTCAGAGCGGAGAGGATTCCCACTTCTGAAGTTATAAATCTATTTCGAAATACTAAAAAAAGAGAATGTATGCTTGTACACAATTTAATAACACCCACTTAACAATAATCAAGTCAAGCAACAAATATTGACAATACGCAATCCCAGCACGTCCGTCTAGCTCTGGTGTCGCCGCAAGAGAGACCTCATCGCGTTCGCACGACCCACCTCTCCAATCCTTCCCTCACTCCAAGCGGCAAGTGACGTCATTAAGCCACGCCCAATAAAAATAAGTGTTGCCAATTATTTCCGCTTATTATATTATACATAGGATCACTTTCAGAAAAAAAGAGAAAAGTTCGAAAGGGATGAAAAAATCACTCTATCGAATCGAGCCGGCAAATACTATTTGATTTATACAAATTTAAATAGAGCAATAATATCAGTTCATCGATGTAGTACAACGTCAGGTTGAAGTCAGGGAGAACTATAAAATAATGTCTCGTAAGTGAAGGTTTGCACTGTGCATACTGCATGTGTATAATGCGATTTAGTGTTCCGGATATAGCGTTAGATTAGCTTGGTATTAGGGCTTCAGTGCTGGGGATCCAGAATAGGTACCTAATTGTGTACGTGACAATTACGATAAGCAGTTTTATTTGCTTTAATCTAAGAGCTCCTTTCTGCTTTGGAATGGTCTTCATTTCACAAGTGTCACGTCTCATCCGTGGCCGTTTTTTGAGCAGATTCATTAGCAAAACTTAAAAGCCTTTTTAAGACCCAACAACTGAATAACTTTTTGGACTTACATTTTCTCCTTTAGTCTGTCTACCTTATTGTGCTGTTTAAATGTGTGATTATGTGCACTAGACATTGATGAGCAGAGTAATAGAAAATAATTTTACTTACAATTTCATGATGCAGTTTTCTCCAATATCTAGATCCCCTGTAAAAGCTCTCAAACCTTTATTCCGTTGGATGGCCTCAGCGGGTTGTGAGATCGACGTATGCTAAATAATTTAATTTCATAACGCTCTCACAAAAGTTATTGCAGGGAAATAGAAATGAGGACTATATCCATAGCCTAACGTTTTCTGGTAGCATATTGCAAAACAGCAACGTGGTCAAGTTATAATGCATCATACAAAAATCTGACTGGTAATATTGTAGTTTTATTTTCTTTTTTCCGTTTTCGTTGGCAACGCTAGACGTTTATAGTTTACTAATTTATTACGGTGACTTCAAACTTAGGCATATGAGCGCTGACTGTGCAGCTATTCATAATCACAATATCAATATTTTCTTTAACAGTTTTGATGACGATATTTATGTTGTTTTATTTCAGGGAGTTAATAAGGTAATGTTCTCTAATGTATGACGAAAGGTATTTTGAAGAGTCCATTTATTCGCAAGGGGACGTCGCGTGATGCGTAATGAAACACGATGGCTTGTAAAACCTAGTGGCATTACAGTAACTGAGTAGTTTTACTATATATACGAAACTTGCACAGTCACATAAAATATTTATGTGCTTGGACATAAATGTGTTCCTGTGTTTGTAATGTGTTTGACAGTGGTTCGTGGGAACATGGTTGTGTTCGGGTGCACTGCTTGTGTATTATTAAGTAACGGATTCATCTTTAAAAAAATATATCTTTTGTATAAAATTTGAAGAGTGTTGATGCGGGCTTATTCTCATTCTATTCGAGTAAGAAAATCATTTAATAGAGAGTTTCGTTTAAGGAACATTATCTTACTATTAACCGTTAATAGTTCAAGTAATCTTTGATGTAGAAATCCATGAAAAGGACTTTTTAAACTTATTTATTATTGTTTGCCATTAGTACAGAAGTGTTAAAACTTAGGCAATTAAATTGTCACTTAAATCAATTGAATTTTTTACCTTATATTTTAAAGTGAAGACAATATTTTATGCAAATATTCTGTATTAACATCGAAGAACGAAAAGCTGGTTTAGTTACGGGTTGTTACACCATCATTTCAGCACGGGGGATCCATTACCGATGTCGCTTTATGACTTTTGAGTGGCATAACAAATGGTATTGCGAATGTCGTTAAAGTCACTGTCCATATGAATTAAAAAACGAAGTACTGCTTAATTACATTTACATATACATTTCTTGTATCCTATTAAATAGCTGATTTTAAAACTTGAAAATTCAAAATTCTATTGTTAAAAAGAATTATCCTACTACTACTGAGTTTAGTCAATCTTGACCATGATCAGCATAATTTGATTAAAGTACCTTGTAATTATTATCGCAATTAAGTCGTAATTTACACATAAAAGAATAAAACCAATAAAAGATGAATACTTTAGGCCTAATTAATTCACGTCTCTTCGAGAACTATTCAATATATGTATTTCTCTTTTTTTTTTTGTCCACAGCAATGAACATCTCAATGCAGTTGGCAGTTGTAGTAGCAGCGGTGGCGTGCCTGTGTGTGGTGGCAGGAGCACCTGACGGACGTCTTACTCGCACCAAACAACAACGCCCCACCCGTGGTTTCAAGAATGTCGAGATGATGACCGCACGGGGCTTCGGCAAGAGGGACAGGCCACATACGAGGGCTGAGCGTAAGTAGTTATTAACTGGAATAAATATGTTACATGCCAAAAATCATTGCAAAGTTATAACTAGGGAGGAATAAATAAATTAAAAAATAAATAAATAATTTATTTCGCAAGAAAGAATTGCAGAAGTACATTATCATTAAAGTTACAATTTTCTTGTGGGTACATAAGTTTTGAACCCTGACATCCAAACTAGGTACAGACCTGTGTTTAGTTACAATATTGTCTTTATTCCGTAAACAAGTTTGGTCACTTCAAAATATTACTGAATAGATGAATTGGATTTTAACCCGTTTTAAACAGTCACAGATATTTATATAAAAGATTAGGAGTTATTATAAAAAAATGTTTGTAAATAGCACACCTGTGTTTTGCACATCTACACACCTTCAATTTTCTACCTTCGTATACAGACAAGCACTTTTCTATTTTTTATTTCTATTTTTTTTAGTAGTATGTGTGTTGTGAGTAACTTTTCTAATATTGTGTGGTGTTTTATCTGGCTCAATAATATATTCTTCGGGGTTTTCATGTCATGTGTTCAGAATAAAGCAAATTACGTTTCAGGAATTATGGTTATTGAAATGAATTATGATTTATATTATTTTGTAATCATAGGATTGTAACAGATTTCTTTCAGGTATTCATAAAATTATGTGAGTAGACAAACTTCAACTGATTCGCCGATCATAGGAACTTACCTGCTTTCAAAATGTGTGTTAAATTAAGTACTAACATTACTTTCTCAAGAGTGAGTTCTCCAAAGATGAAAAGCAAATCATTCTTCATAGGTATATGACTATTTATTTCGCTAAATAAACCGACATGTCGTCGACCTCGACGAACCGTTTAGTTCAATTAGAATACTAATAAAATGAGACGTCTATAAACTTATTTAAAATAAAAATATGCTGACTTAGGGGATTTGAAGTATTTTTTATTTTACTTGCCTTTATCTTAATCGCAGTAATAAATTACACACAATTGTTATAAATAAAAAGGTAAAGGAAGACAATATAACTTATATTAACTAGCTGACCCTTAATTTATAAATGTACTTATAAACTTACTAGGTTTACCTCGAAGTTTATAGTAACTACCAGATCACTAAGTATTAATTTTTTCCAAATTGAAGCGTCAGCCTAGTGGTTAAGGCATTGGACTTGCGATCAAGAGGTCGTGGGTTCGAACCCTGACCAATACACTACCGATGTGAACCCACTCCCAACACAAGCAATTTTGGCTTAGCTGGAGGGGTTAACGGGAATACTAGTAATTTCGGTTGTTTGTGAACCTTTAAATTAAAATTGAATTAAGTTATTAAATATTAAAACTGCTACACACATAATACATACTACATACTATATAGTAAATGTACTATGATATTATTTAATAAAATAAGTACCATTAGCTAACATATCCATCTTATCATATGTTAAGCTATTAATGGTAACGTGATGGTAAACTATACAAGTTCTTCACTATACAATGTCTCATACTAACTTTTTCATTTACCTTTATTTAGATAAAATATCAGGGCAACTCGAAAGTAACTTGGGGTCTTTTTATTGTGAAACTTCGATTGTTGTTATTCAGTCAGTAATTGCACGATTATCATAACTAACTTTGATGTAAAAAAATTAAGATTGTAACAAAATAGCGCTAGTTAGACATAAAACATTAAACACTACTTATTTGGAAAAAGCCTCTTAGACTGTTTTATCAGAGAACTGTAACGGGTAAAATCCTACAAATAGCATTATTTCTTCTTAAGGGGACGTAGAGAAAGATGCGTCCGCCAGCCGTACGCTACGTGGTATTCCTACATTTAAGAGTCCTACTGTTGGAATCGCAAGAGATTTTGGTAAAAGAACTCCGGAATGGAATAGTGAAGGTACCATAAAGAACTTGATTGGGTTTCCAGCCTAGCAGCACTGTGAATGGCACAATTACGTTGAAGCCAATGAAATATTCGACCGTGTAACAGACTTAAAAACAGTCAAAGCTTGCATTAGGAAATTTATCAAAATCCACTTATAACTGGCCCCCAAAACCTTTCTCCTTGTCATTTCAAAAACTGTGATGCTTTGCAGGTGTTTGTGGAAAGATTTAAAACTGTTAAGTTTGATAATATGTATGTTTCATGTCAGAGTCAACGTTTGCAAATAACTTTTTCTTAAAGAGGAAATTGAATAACTTGACTTAAGCAATGCTTTTTCAATAACAAATACATTGTAATTCAATTTTACTCTCTCTAAATAAAAAGCAAGTTATCAGCTTTGTATCAAGTACTGTGTTTATTATTATTGAACTGAAAACTTTCGGTCGTTCGTTATCAACGATTCGAATGTATAATAAAATGTATGGATTCGAATGCTGAGCTTGATAATAAAATAATACAAATATAGTTCTAGAACGCCAAGTTGACTGGCTTTCCTCTATTTTCTTTTGGCTTCTTTTTATATTTCAACATTTGACACAGTTCATAATTCTAACACTTAAACACATACACCAACAGCTCAAGCCGGTTATGAAGGTCACCCACGTAGGAGGTTCGATCCCAAGAACAGTCTGATGGTGGCCTATGATTTTGGCAAAAGGAGTGGTAATGATGAAAATGTCGATGAAGGTAAAATACTGAAGAAAACACCCGACACGCTTTAAAAGCTTTAAAAAATTAGAAGAATAAAATTGTTCAAGAAAAAAAAAAATAAACGCTTGTGCAATAAGCAAGAAAAAATAATGCTTCGTATCGCTTTGTGACGGTATAAAATAATATATCATCGTGACTTGCTATTTGACAGAGGAAGAAATAAGAGTCACCAGGGGAACTTTCAAACCCAACTCAAACGTACTTATCGCCAGGGGTTATGTCGGTGGTATCCCCTCGGATACCACCGACAGGTGGTATCCGAGGGGATTTCCGCACGGAAAAAAAAAAAAAAAAAAAAAAAAAAAAAAAAGGGGTTATGGCAAAAGGGCCCGTTTGCCAAATAACGATCGAGGTATTAATCGAGATAATCTCTTATCCAATATCAAAGGAATATCAAACTATCTATAATTGTCACAGTGTCATCTGTCGAAAACCGGCTCAAAGCCGCATAAATATTTATACAACAAACATTCCTATTGACCGAATAAAACCTGAGAGACTGGTCAGGCAGTATATCGGGCTACTATAAAAAGCGATATATGCCTAAAAGCTGTATATTTTATGTCGATAGAAAAAGTTACACGAAGAGTTATATTCGGTGATGCATATCTTAAATAAGTCATTGGTTATGATAAAGAGACATAGTAATATGTATAACACAAACATTTACATGCACAGTTTTAGATATTTCGAATAACATAATAATTTTCATAAAGGTTTCATTACTTTCTGTATTGCATTATAATCGAAGATATTATATTCGATTACAATGCCGAATTCTTTTTCTACCATATTGTCATGCTCTTAGTTTGTGTGACTTCTTCTATCTATAAGCTAAGTACTTGATGTTTTATTAATCCCTCGGAGTAAGGAATTCATACATATCCTATTTCACTAAAACACGCAAAGATGACAAAAAAAAACATGATACTAAAAGGACACCATGTTGCTATTGTTGGCTTTTTACAAAGTAAGGATATTGGGGAAAAATATAACATCATTACTGGTAACAACTTGTTAGATCCTTTTTGGGGAAAACATAAGTGTTCGTAGACCTTTTTATAAATGTGGTGTCCGTGTTAATGCTGTATTTATGTGCGTGTGGAGCTCAGATATGGGACAATAATGTGCTGTTTGACTCGTCTTATTTTATTTCAGAATTGAATGTTCGAGAAGTGTCTCACTTAGCGAGATTTACTCTCGCTTTCTGAATATGTGCTTGTTGCTTTTATTGTGGAGGAATGTAACGAGGAACCAGGTTTTAATGTTGCTTATAAACGTCTAGTGAATGCTTCATTGTTAGCTCAGCTAATTAAAGGAAGCAACAGTTGGTTTACTTTCTCCTTTATTGTCCACTACATGTGGGGTGTTGATAAAACTCGTTTTGTGCTTGTGTTTCGTTTTGGCGAATCTTTTTGTAAAAAACAATTACGACCGTTACCTAGATGTGGAAAACAGAAAACCTGTGCAAATATACAACTAAAGAAATTAACAAAATGATTTTAAAAATATGACATCATCATTTAATAGGAAAGTAATGTATTTTTATAATGTTATAGTGTACGGCCTGGATAACTTCTGGGAGCTGCTAGAGAACGCACCTGACAGGGAAGGCATGGACGGAGCTGATGAGAAGACTCTTGAAAGGTAAACATGCACTCCTCAGTTATAAAAATATTAACAGACAATACAAAACAAGAACTTTTCATTTATTTTGATTCACGCCTTGAATATAAGTACCATTTATCATTAAATTTCGTAAACACTTTGTTTTTGACTAAGTACTTTTAATTTAAAGAGCCGTTCTAGAGGGATAAAAAAACAGCTTTTAGGCGAGTAAAGACGCTAGACAAAATGACTTTTTACAATAATTAAACACTTACTCGTACATTAATGCCTAAAAATGTTGTAAAATGTCTTTACTTTGTTTTAATTGGATATTTTGTGCCACTTGAACGTTATTCCTTTTAGAATTTATAAGATTGAGAATTTTTCATAAGACCATTCCATAAGCAATTTAAAATTAATTAAGAATAAGTATATATCAGGCGATTTCAACATCATCAACTTAATAATTGCTATGTTCTGAAAATGGAAATCTATAATAGCTGTAAGTCTCAAAACGATACGAGTATTTTGAAGAATACAAGTTTCACTTGCCCCACAATATTTATGAAGCGAGATAATTCTTAAAGCATCTTTCTTATGAACTTGAATGTGATACGAAAACCGACCCGCTAAATATACTGGTCAGGTTGCAAATGCATTATCGTGTTTAGTTTAGAAAGCTGTGTACGTATACGATTTCAATAACGTACAAAATTGAATCTAGAGTTTGCACAAATACCAATTTGCTATGAAACCGTTCAGTAATTATTATTAGTGATTGCTTTCCCGATTAATTAAAGTGAAAATCAATTATGACACAACATAATTAGCATTAGCAGTAGTTTAGTATTAATTTGGCTTCCAATATTTTATAAAATGGCTTTGGAGCACGTGAGTTAAATATGAATGTTCATTTTCCATCATGAGAGTAGAGTCCTATCGCCTATGTTTTAAATCATATTGATTACATTATAAAGTAATAGACTCTTTCCTCCCTTCTAGGGAGAGGCCTATGTCCAGCAGAGAACTACTAAAGGCTGTTGATGATGATGATGATGATGAGACTCTTTAATAAACCGGGTCTGTTGGTATAGTGATCTTGACTGCTATGCCGAAGGCCGCGGTTTCGGCTTCCACCCAGGACAAATTATTGTGTTAGATCACCACTAATTGTTCTTTGTCTGGGTATATGTGGTGGTGGTGGTGCAGTGGTAGCGTATACGACTGCTGTGCTGAGGTCTCTGGTTCGATTCCCGGATCGGGCCAAATGTATCTACTCATTACAAACATATCTTACACAAAAAATGGTAAAATAAATCCGTTTAAAAAAGAAAGTTTAACTGACTTCAAACAGACTGGGGTACTTGGGGGGACTTGGGGGTACTTATTATTGTTTTCTTACTTAGATTTGTAATTATTTTGGAATTTTTAGTGCTCTTTGTCAGTATTGTTTGAAGTCGGTTCGACTTTATTTTTTAAAAGGTTTTATTTGTCAATTTTTAAATCTATTAAATATACTAAAGATTTTGGGCAATGTAACCATGTTACATGTCTATTATTCTATTCTGTACAAATAAGCAAACAAATATTAAAGGATAGTCTTAGATTTATCCAGCTCAATTTCCTCACGCGCGCTGTAATTTCGTTTATTATCCAATATGTTCATGTTTACATTCCTAATTGTGTTGAAATAACGCTATTTACGTTGAAATCTATGTCAATAAGATGATTTATCAGAAACTAGTTTACTAAAACAATTTTACACTCGAGTTAAAAAAAATCACCTATACCGTTTACATAATTACGAATACCTCGTTTCGACAGGTTCGTAAGCTATGTATAAATTCTTATAAAAATAACTTAAGGAATCACGTGAACACAAGCAATAGTCAATTGAAAATATTACATCTTTCTTCATAAAACAAAAGTTAATAAAAGTTAATAAAAATAAAATTCCTGTTTTAAATATTCGCAAAACACAATACACCCTTCTTTTGTAAAACATTTACCATTGTTTTTTAAATCCCTAATTTTGGGACACAGCTTATATGGATATATACGTAATGTTTCTATCTGATACAAGATTTCATGCTCATTCGATTCTAAAATTAATACAATGAACTAGAACAACAAGGTTAAACTTATTATAATGGGTAAAAACTTTTGATAGCGATATAGCTAAAATCGCTTTATTTTATTTTTTCGTAGACATTCTCAATAATATTGATACAGAAAGGTCACGGTTTGAAAGAACTCTTCTCTTTTTCCGAAGGTATTTGAAGTGTAGGTTCAAGATTCACTCTTTTTATTTAATCGCAAACATTTTTTGAGAGTTGGATCAGTCTCGAAACAAACAAATCACCCACAGTATTATATATCCACGCGGTACTTTTCTGTGACTGCGATAAGCCTTTTCTGGATTTTATAAGTCAGAGAGTAAATATTACAAAACCATGACGAGGCTTATTCTATTTCCATATTCAAAACAATGCATGACTGTTTTAAAACTCCTGTTTAATAATCGTACATTTAAACATGCTGCAGAATACGATACGATACGATATAAGTATTTTATAGTAAATCCCAAGGACGATTATAATAGGAGTACGTAAGTCGCAACAGGTGTGGATCTAAGATTTTATTTAAAATTACGTCTTAACTTATTCAGAAGTTAAACATCAAACAATAAACATAAATCAACGGAGAAGTACACTGTTTCAAACATAAAATAATTTTTGAGATTTTGAAGTCTGTGAAACTGAAATGGATCATAAACACAGAGACAAAGACGATACAATTTTATACGAAAAGCTGCATTCTTTTAGACCATTTAATTTCTACATACATACTTGATCCTCGAATACATGAAATTGCCTCTCAAACTAATCTTTAGATATGAAAAAGCAGCGACTAGGGCAGAACCACTATAATGACTTTTTGAGAACAGAACAGATGGATTTTGATATTTCCTTATTTTTACAAATTCTCGACTTTTTTACACAAAAAGGGCAAATCTTGAGTGATTTAAGTTTTGGATGACATATCGTGTTAGTATATTAGTAAATGAATGACCGAACTTTGCTCGGTATTGTTTTTTGATAAATTTTCTGAAAATGAAACCAAGCTATATATATATGTATATATATATATATATGTAAATATTAAGCGTAATAAAATACATAAAATATTAATACATTTAAATATTAATCGCCCCCGAAATACCCTTCACACTAAATGTCATTAAAATCGTTGGAGCCAAAAATATCATAGCAATCTTTGCTATACTATACAATCTCAGAAACAAAAACTTGCGTCTAGGCTTTTCAAGGAATGTGGAATCTTAACGAGTTTATCTTTTCTTTACTTTTTTGAGGAAAAGTAAACCATGGCAATGTTTTAAATTACTCTAAGGAATAAGGCTTCATTAGAGTGAGCTGATGATATAAGCTAAGCAAATATAGGCAAGGCAATATAGGTAGTGATGTCAAATATTATTGTGAAGATCATTTTATTTCTTTTATACTCAATTTTTTAATATTTTAATACCACATTTTCTATAACAGCATTCCTCTAGACTGGTTTGTGCACGAGATGCTGAACAACCCCGACTTCGCGCGATCTCTGGTTCGCAAATTCGTTGATATTAATCAGGTAAATATTTTTATAACTCAAAACATTTATGTTTCCATTAATAAGTAACCTAATATATCCGTGTAGCGATTAAGAATACAGAACGTCACCACTCCTACTCATCCCGTTGATGTCGCAAGAGACGAGTAAACGAGCAAACTCTATAGCAATCTGTCCGCCAAGCGTGGTATAGTAGGGCAAAATGTCCTTTCTAATGAGAGTCCTACGTCCATCAGTGGACAATTAAAGGCTGTGTTGATGAACATAAAATTAACTTTATTCTTAGAAGAAAATATCAAAAGGGTTTTTGGCACCTGAATAAAAACATAATGTGCAAAAATCCTTTACAAAATTTTTATTCATACAAATCAAATCATTTTATTGAAATTATTACTTACTAAGTTTCTAGTGTATTTATTAAAACACGTGCTAATGTTTTACTATTACAGTTCGTCCATTACTATTACAGTTATTCACACATACAGTTATTTGTAATATGGTCAATCAATATATATGGGGTCTACCAATAAGAACGTCCTGATTTTAAAATTGAATAAAACACACAATTTTTTATGAAAAATGCATCCGATTGATTTATTTGATAGATAATTTTATGCAATTTATGTTTTAAAAAATATATCGGCCAAATGACCGCCGCGGCTCTTTTTGCAGACGGTCACCCGCTCACGCCAATTTTCGATGACGCGGTGCACCATTTCGGCGGGTACGTCGGCTATGGCTCGTCAAATGTTGGTTTTTAGGTCACGAATTGTAGCTGCATTATTGCTGTATACTATAGATTTAACGTAACCCCAAAGAAAATAGTCTAAAGGTGTTAAATCACATGATCTTGGTGGCCAACTGATCGGTCCATTTCTCCAAATTAACGACTCACCAAACTTTCAAAGAAGTTTTGGATAATTTCCAAGCGTAGGTTTAAAGTGAAACGTGACATGATAAAATGGCAAACCTTACTGAACACAAATGTCAAGAGACATCAAAGATCCATCATCAAACATGGCCGCTATGAGCTGTCAAAACCAGGTCATCCCTATTGGTAGACCCAGTATATATATATAAATATATATATATATATTTATATATGTAATTATTATGTTATTAGAGTAGGCGACATTTTGACTGTGGATTTTGTAATGCTTAGTTTATGAATAGGAGAAGTGGAAAAAACTAAGAATTACGAATACAGTGTTAAACAAACCAATTAAAACTAAAGATAGTAATAAATACTGGTTGAAAACTCGTCCACCAGCAGATTATCTCTAATATAAATAAATACTTAAATGTTCGTTTTGTCGGAGTCGCAATGCCATTTATAATAGGTAACGCATACCTTTTTAGGAGTCACATAATGTAGACTAGGCACCTTTTGAAAGATGTTTCCTTCTTGAATCAATTTTACATTGTAAACCTTGTCATTAGTAGGTATTTGGTTTCTATTTGAATTCTTATCATCCAATAGAACATTTCAAATCTTAATTAAGTATTGGTACAAACTTTATCTAGACTTAAAGTAAGTAAAAACCTTTTCAAACAAATGTTCATGAAAAATATTGGGAAAAGATTAATATTTGTTTCGAAAGAGTGCTAAATTTTTGTTAAAGTTTTAATGTCGAAATCGTATGTACTTTGAAAAATTATTTTAATTAGGATTGTAATTGAAAATGAAACCTTTCCATTACGACATGAGAACTTTTTTATTTGGGAGACTTTTATAATTTAGTAAAATTTTGGAGTTTAGGAGCTTTCGGAACGATATTGCTCCTAATGTTATATAAGCAGCGTAATTTCTACAGTCATTTTAGTTACTCTAACGCTGTAGTTTTAATGTTGATATATATGTATATGAAATAGATAGATGACGTATTATTCTCTTGAAATAAGTAGCATTATTAGGAACAAGAATCCTTTTCATTTGAATTTGTGTTATTAAAGTTATTTGTTTATCTACAGGACGGCATGCTATCATCGGACGAACTACTCAGGAACGTGGTTTAAGCGTACATTTAGTTATAATTAGTACTGGAGGATCTACTTATTTTTAAAACACTGTTATTCACTTTATATTTTATATACAATCTATTTATTGTTCAGTTGCAGAACTTGTAGCGTTACTGTGATATCAAAACAATTATCTTCGGGCATTCGAAAACTATAAAAAAATAATTTATTTATTCGAAACTTAATTTTAAGAATGATACTGTTGTTTGGATTGTTGTAAATAATTTTACATATGATGTCAATGGCATAAGAATTGTCTGTCCATAGATATACTCTTTATATCTTAAATATAGATTAATGCTCGTTGTAACTTGAAGTTTCTTCATCTTATATGTATGTGCCGCGTTCAGATAAATGATAATTACATAGATGTACAAATTATTTTTACGTTTGTAGACTTGGTTGTTGACTTAAAATATTTTTATATACACTATCCCACACAGAAAGTCCTAACCCTTCAATCTGATCTTAATAAAATATTTGTATTGGAAACACATTTCTATTATCCTCAGGTTATTTATTATGGATATGTTTGCCTATATTATTGTAAATAGTGCAATTACTTATCTCCTAACCGTTAATATATTTAACTGAAATCAAATATTTGTCCATTATTGTATTCTGTACTGAAGTAGACGAAGAAGACGATAAGGGTGTCACGTCCCTTTACTTTTTCAGTTGCTTTTCGGTTGCAAAAAGACACCTCACTTTACTTTGATGGTATTGTCATAGATCCCAGATCATACACAGATTATAAATGTCTCATATTTTAGAAATATTGTTATCAAACATTGAAATAGTCTACTAATGATTGGTCGGCTATGATTTCAAGTTTTAATACTTACAACTTATTGACACCGTATCTTACATCAGAGGTATTATGCCATTATTACGACTTTTATGTTTAAATCAAGAGTATTTAGTTTGAAGAAGTTGCGTTTCATTTTTATTAATTTATGACCTATTCAGGAGATTTAAGAAAGAAACCCAAATAATAAAAGAGGCACAAGACTAATCTATTTTAATGTAATTATTATTTGGTCTTATTCTGACTACTTATTTTTATGTCTACATTTCAATGTGTTTTTCGATGTATCTAAGGGGAAAGGCAAATCTAACGATATCTATGTATGTATCTAGTATGATTAATTAGGCTGGGTTACATCGTCATTCGAGTCAATTTTCATAGATGAAGTTGTAAGAAAATTTGTGGATTGTGTCTAAATACTCGCTCTACATACATACGTAAAATGACTAATGTAATTGATATTTATATATATATATATATATATATATAAAATATTTTTAGGCAATGAAATATTCGAAAACTGAATGTTTGGAAACCCATTATTTAATTAGTTTGTTGTTGATAATCACTGTCGACGTTATGAATGAAATAAAATAAATATATCAGGTATTAAAGTTGTTTAATTTTATTTCTGTATGATAACACAAATTCCTTAACAATACATCCACAGCGCTGGGCTAAGTAAAACCGTTGGGGTAATTTTAATCGATTACGATTCTTGGATGTTTTTGAATATTAGACAGGCACAAGCACAAGAATTCTTAATGAAGGTTCCTTTTACTAATTTCTACAGTTTTACTACTTTACTTACTCTACTTTGTACTAATTCGTTTCTTCAAAAAGCTCTTACCATTTTTTGAGGAAAATTAACACACATTCTATATTAAGTAATTCATGTACGATGCATAATGAAATAAACAAATCCTGGAAGGTTGCCCATAGCCGACAAACCCACAGACTTTGTTTTGTGTCCTTTAAATATTTAATTAACTTAATACTGGGTCGTCGACAGTAGTTAATTACTGTTTAATATACACATCTATAGAGACTCGTTAATATTCGTCAAGCTGAGTTAAAGGGTACACACCTTCTGAATTTATTTAATTAACATTATGATGCAATATCAAAATGAAAATTGATTGAATTAGATTAGAGAAAAGCACACATCAAACAGTGTCACACGTAATATGATATTGGTATGGTGTCCTTAACTTGAAGGTACTTTTATTCTTCTTGCAAATCGCTTGTAGTAATTTCATGTTTAGCTAGCCTTTTCTAATGACATCAGTGCTAAAAAGAGCTTAATATAACTTAGGTTAGTAGGAACTGCATTTTCATTCTATCAGTGATTGGCTTGTTTTTGTCTCTCGTCTATGGCACGTGTAATTACACCGACACTGAAATGAACACAAAAATTACATAATATTATTGCATTATATTATATTTGTTCTTTATAAAAAAAAATTATTATTAAGCATAAAAATCCGAGCTTAAGTAATAAAGTCTAGATTTGTTTTGTCCTATCTCAGAAGTTGTTCCTATTTTATATGTATTTAAAACAGATCTCTTTTTTTAAAGACTAGTATTGGACTTTAAATATACTACATACATATACAGATTACATGCTTACACGTCGTGTCGTCCAGGGCTTGTAATACTGCGTGTAATACTGCCATGCCGGCCAATAGTTTACGAAACAATTGTTCCTTTCATTTCCTAGCACTGACAATAACTGGAATACTGTGTAGAATGGTCAAGTAAGCATATAACTGTTAATGTACAAAAGAGTCCAAAAGATTACAAAGTGTTATTAAACAATAAAATGATATCAATAAATAAAATATGAATCAAGATGTTAAGCGTTGTTTCATTTCTTATGGTTTATTAGATGTATGTATGGAATAAATATTTTGACTAAAATGGCTATAACTGTGATTTGAAACACACAATTAGGATTCCGACAACTATTCTAATTTCAACGGATCAGTGTCTTCCGTGAAAATAAATTACATCACCATTTTTACCCGATTTACCAGATTAAAAAAATAGAAATGCAAAAACGACCTTAACAATGCGTAGGGATATAAAAAGGCTTCAGAGGCCTAATCTTCGAACACAACGGTTTTTCCTTTCTTTTCATACTCACTGTAACAATCCAAGCTTTGTGATCTTCTTCATCATCTGCTAACGTCAATTTCAATTGAATTAAATACTGATTAAATAAAAAGATAATAGCTTCTTCCTTACTCCCGCCTAATAGACTCAAAACTTTTATCAACTGGATTTATACAGAACACATAACTCTTTCGTAGATTAACGAAACGGCCTTTGAAAGCCAATTAAAAATTTACCTTATTACTCAATTTTGTTGTCTTTAGTTCTAATTTATTTATTTCTGATGTGACACTACTAATCTGGCTGTTGAGAACCAGTGTTGGCGTGGCGACGCACGTGGCGATACGTCACCAAGTGCAACAAGAGCGTTGCCGCCCTTTAAACCTACCCCATCCCAGAATTATTGCGAGGTTCAGGCTTCGCTAATTTTACACGCAATCACTCACTCGGTGGGGAGCAACGAAAAAATTGGTTAACACCGGTATTCCGTGAGGTCCGCTCGAGCAGGCCTATTTGTGCCGAAGCATGGCTCTCCCATGGTCAATTATGTTGCCATGGCTTGTTTGCTGTGTCAAATGTATGAAGAAAAAGTTTTCTTCTCAAGCTGCATAATTTCTTTAGTTTTAAATTGCCTTGTAGTTTGAAACTAGATAATTACTCTGAAAGTAGTGAACATAGTTTATGTAATACTGAGGTTTTGTAAACCTATTTGCTATTCACAAAACTAAGTAACATGGACGGTTATATGAGCTGATACATTATGTTCATCATCATCATCATCATGAACATAATGATCATATAATCTATATAATCATGATATTAATGTTTAATAATTATTATTTTCTATGAGCTGATACGAGTACATTATGTTAAAGGAAGCGATCTTTTTAATTTCATAATTTGAACCAACACCAATAGTATTTTTTATACATTTAAGTAAAAAGTAAGCAAATGAGGATATTATAAAAAATAATTAAAATATTTTTTTGTTATTATCTGTGTATTGAAACTAATGAATCAAAGTATTTATAACTATTACTCTTTTCCTACATTTTTAAATTTTAAAACAAGTTTAAAAAAACTTAGAAATATAACAGCTAAAACAATTGACGTCAAGTGATTAAAAAAGATTTATTAACAAACAAACGTGTATGCTACTTAATAGAAAATTAATATCTAAAATTCATTCATAAAGTTTATATACTCCTAAATTACTATTAAACATTATAAAAAATATATTTCGAAAAGTTAGAAACTAATTTAAAACTACAGAAATTTGTGCGAGCTAGTATTTGTAGAAGTTTCTAGAAAATTAACTCATTTCAGTTGTAGAACTCCCTTTGCTGGTATTTACTCTGCCTGGATTAAGCGTCAGTTTATTTCAATAGAGAATTACTGTACTCTATAACAATTTTCTATATTAGCATACATTCTATTGAGTTTGCACTAGACGACTACGATTACTTTTCAATATAAACAACATTATGAATAAATACAACCATAAGTAGAAATAATATTAATAACGGCTGGTCAGTACAATAGTCGCAAGAATTATATGCAAAGTATCATTATTATTTGAAGGCTAGTTGACTTAATTTAAAAACTTGGTTAATTATATACTTTAATATCTATTTTATCCCAAAAAACCTATATTTTGAAGAAAAAGCAAAATTTACATTGCGTATTTTGTATTTAAAAAAACAATTTAAATTTCCCTAGAAAACGCTGAATAGTGTCATGGCGTCTTGAATGACGTCACAGTCTGCGAAACAAAACTGTTTACATCTGTGTCCAGTGTCAACTGAAACTATATTAAGGTGAGAAGATGTGCTAAAACGAAAAACGATAAGGAGTAACTTACTCTATTGTATGAAAACGTCAACAACAACAATGATGTTTTGCGTGGCGTGACGTTACCCTTTCTGATTGGTTGGAAAAAACTAACTTTTATGAGAAATGGACTGTTTTTTTCTTATCTCTCTCTTCATTTATAATTTGAAACTATAAACCAAGCAATTTGTTATTAGTGGACACAAGCCTATTAAGGATGACAACATTGTATTTTAAATAACCG